ACCACCAAGCGTGCTTGGGAAGGACTCTACGAGCATGTTACCAGGGCCCAGCCGAAATCTGATCAGACACCAGGCGTGTTGCCAAGGCCAGACCGGAAGCTGATGAAATCACGCGTCAGACATCACGTGCGTTGCCATGCGCCGGGTAGGCGAACGAAGACTGTAGTACCCGAGCAACACGGTGAATCGGACAGATGCAGCGGACAAGTAGGTGTGCAGCGTGGGCTTAGAGCCAAATCCGCCTGGTGATAGTGACATATAAATATGACCGTTCTTTGCCTTAATACAACTCTGGTCTGCTGAGTAGTCTTCTGTCTTCGTTCCGGTCGGGTTTGCCAAGGCGTAAATCAGAGCACGCGTGAAGGCGCAGATTTAGCAACAGGCGTGAATCAACCAGGCGAGAGCGAGCAGGCCGCGCAGCGTTACAACAGTGGCGACGCGAGTACAACCGAACCCAGGCATGGCAATTAGCTTTGAACAATTGCAGATGCTGTTGCAGCAACAACAGGCGCAGTTTGAAGCATCCCAAACCAAACTGATCGAGATGTTAACTCAGAAGATGACAGTGCAGTCAAGCCCAGGGTTAGCGACAAGTGAAGGTGCCCCGTCACCAGAAACCCTGACTCAGCAGATCAGTGAGTTTCATTATGACGCTGATGCTGGCATAACATTTGTTTCGTGGTTCCACAAGTATGAAGATATGTTCCGGGTTGATTTTGCTAACCTTACAGCAGAAAAGAAGATTCGACTAATGCTGCGGAAGCTGGGTGCTGCCGAACACGAGAAGTTCACCAATTTTATCTTACCCAAAAAGAGTACCGATTTGTCCTTCGACGAAGTGGTTGCAGTCCTGTCGCAGATTTTCGGAGAACAGACTTCTTTGTTCAACATCCGGTACAAGTGTCTGACAATAACCAAAAAAGAAGACGAAGACTGGGTCGACTATTCCAGCCGGGTGAATCGAGAGTGCGAACGGTCACAACTACACAAGATGACAAGTGATCAGTTTAAATGCCTCATATACGTCTGTGGCCTACAAGCATCCAAAGACGCCGACATTCGAACACGAATACTGAACAAAATTGAGCAGAATCCGGATGTCACGTTGCAGCAAGTGACCGGTGAGTGCCAACGCATGACGAATCTGAAACACGATACTGCAATGATCCAGCAGTTGTCCAAGCAGAGCGAGCAAGATTTTGTCTGTGCAGTCAGCCGTACTCCCCGAAAAGAAGCTTCCCACGTGAGTTCAACGCATTCTAAACCTCCCACTGCATGCTGGTTTTGTAGAGAGTGGCATTTTGCCCGCGAGTGTCCATTCAAAACTCACACTTGCAACCGTTGCGGCAGAAAAGGGCATAAGGAGTCGTGTTGCCTGGCGACTCGTCCAATTCTGACCAAGAAGATGCGTAACAATGCCAGGCCGTTCCGGCGTCCCAATTTGACCAGATCTATCACCGCAACATTCAAGGTTGACGGGGCCAGCAAGCGCAAATACACAATTGTGAAAATCAACGGCTTCCAAGTCAAGTTACAAATTGACACGGCTTCTGATATCACCCTGATATCTCGAGACACTTGGTGCATGCTGGGGCGACCAACACTCATACAAACGGACCACACGGCACGGAATGCTTCAGGAGGTACGTTGAAATTGCTGGGTGAACTGAATTGTCAGGTAAACTTTCGCGATAAACAAATCCAGACGACATGTTTCGTGACAGACCAGCCGGGGTTAGATTTGTTGGGGCTCGACTGGATGGATGAACTGAAACTGCTTGATCAATCAGTGAACAGTATATGTCAGCCACCGCAAGTCAATCTGCTGTCACAACCGTCACCTTCAAGCCCGATGTTTCAAAGTCAGATTGCCGAGATAAAACGACGTCACGATGCATTGTTTCAACCTGGTCTCGGATGCTGCAACATAGCTACTGCCTCATTGAACCTTAAACCAGACGCCAAGCCAGTCTTTAGACCGAAACGCCCGGTGCCCTACGCAACCCAGTCTTTAGTGGAAGCCGAGTTAAATCGACTACAATCTGAAGGGATAATCGAACGAGTTCACTATTCCGAATGGGCAGCACCTATCGTGGTGGTAAAGAAAGGAAACGGTAAAGTCCGTATTTGTGCTGATTTCTCGACAGGTTTGAATTCTGTGTTGGAAGATCATCAGTATCCCCTGCCGGTACCAGAAGACTTGTTCAGCAAACTCAATGGGGGGAAATGTTTCGCAAAACTTGACCTAGCTGATGCGTATTTGCAAATCCCAGTTGCCCATCAGTGCAGAACATTGCTGACAGTAAATACCCACCTCGGACTTTTTCAGTACAACCGGCTGCCGTTTGGAGTGAAAACCGCACCGGCCATTTTTCAACAAATAATGGATACCCTGCTGAGCGATATCCCAAATACAGCAGTATACCTGGACGACGCGCTGATTATGGGCTCAGATCCGCAAGACTTGATACAGACACTGGAGAGAGTGCTTTCGCGTCTTCAGGAAGCTGGATTCCGATTACGGGCTGAAAAATGTGAGTTCCTATTAGAAAGTGTCAAATTTCTTGGGTTCATCATCGACAAACATGGCCGGCGCCCGGATCCCGCCAATATTGAAGCCATCAAAAAGATGAAGCCACCAGAAGACATTGCAGAGCTCCGCTCTTTTCTTGGGCTCGTTAGCCATTACAGTGCTTTCCTACCAAGCCTTCACCAAACCAGAGGACCGCTGAACCAGCTACTGATAAAAGACAAGGATTGGAAATGGACGAAGGAGTGCCAGCAGTCTTTTGATGCAGTCAAAGAAGCTCTCACTTCCGATCTACTCTTGACTCACTTCAATCCGAATTTCAAAATTGTCGTTGCTACGGATGCTTCAAATTATGGTGTCGGTGCAGTTATTTCCCACGTTTTTCCGCATGGAGGAGAGAAGGCTATCGCGCACGCAGCACGGTCACTAACGCCAGCTGAAAAGAACTATAGCCAGATAGAGAAGGAAGCGCTCGCGATTGTTTTCGCAATGAAACGGTTCCATAAGATGCTGTATGGCAGACATTTCACGCTCCTGACTGACCACAAGCCTCTTCTATCGATATTCGGTTCAAAGAAAGGAATTCCAGTTTTTACGGCAAACCGATTGCAACGATGGGCGACCATACTACTGGCCTACGACTTCAGTATACAGTATAAACCGACGCAACTAATCGGTCAAGCGGATGCCCTGTCTCGTCTCATCAGTTCACACCCAAAGGAGAATGATGATTGTGTGATTGCAGCTATCAGTTTCGAAGCAGAAGTCCAACGAATCCTGGCTGATAATGTGAGAAGACTACCAGTAACAGCCGACACTATTCGTATGGAGACATCACGGGACAGAATCTTGAAGAAAGCGATGCACTGTGTACGAACATGTTGGCCAAATGGAGGCATACCTATGGAGTTGCGGCCGTTTTACCATCGACGTGCATCCCTATCAGCCGTGGACAATTGTCTGATGTTTGGAGATCGAGTGGTGGTGCCAAGGAAATTGCAGAGGCAAATATTGCAGCAGTTCCACACGGGGCACCCTGGTACCAGCCGCATGAAAGCCTTGGCACGCAGCTTTGTTTACTGGCCAGAAATGGATTCGGAAATTGAAAAATTCTGCCAACAGTGTGAATCTTGTCAACTTGCAGCGAAGGCTCCTCCCAAGTGTCAGTGGCAACCTTGGCCTAAGGCAGAGAAACCGTGGCAACGAATACACGTAGACTATGCAGGACCGATCAATGGCCAATCCTATCTCGTTTTGGTTGACTCATTCACCAAGTGGCCTGATGTGATTCCGGTAAACAATCCGACTGCACAGCACACTATCAACGAGCTGGAGAAGCTGTTCCGATACTTCGGCCTGCCAGAGGTGTTAGTGACAGACAATGGAACACAATTTACCTCGACTTCTTTCGCGAGTGGTGCAAAGAAAAGGGAATTCATCAGATGTTCTCACCACCATATCATCCTCAATCAAACGGACAGGCGGAAAGGTTTGTGGACACGTTCAAACGTGCACTCTGTAAAGCAGGGCAAAAAAGGGCTTCACAGGATGCAATTCAAGCTTTTCTATGCATGTATCGGAACGCTCCGAATCCAAACTCCCCTGATGGGAAAGCCCCCACAGAAGTACTATTTGGAAGAAAGATCCGGACGTTGTTTGATAATCTTTTACCAAGAAGAATAGAAAAGCACGGCAACAGTCACCAGGAGGAAGATTGCAAGATCAAGCTCCGTAACTTCAATGTTGGTGACATGGTCTACGCCCGGGATTTTCGAAGGCCGAAGGGGTGGTCTAGTGGAACGGTTATCGGAAGGAAAGGCAGAGTTATCTACGAGGTGATGGTTGGACGTGAGAGATGGATTAGGCACATCAATCAGCTGAGACCGAATCATGGCAAAACCCAAGGTCCTCAGGAACCACCAGCTTTACATTGGGACATCCTACTAGACACGTTCGGGTTGGAAGCTGAATGTCAGCAACCAGGTGAGACGAAACAAATGCCGCAGAAATCAGATGCACCATGCAGGCCGGCGCGGAAGCGGAGAAGGCCACAACGGCTGCAAATCAATCCCCGGGCGAAAAGCTACGAACACACTCAGGTTCGAAGGGTGTGCAGGCTGACTCAATTCGGAAGGGGAGGTGACAGTTGGACGAGAAAGCTGAGAGCCGACGCTCGCGCGTTTACCACCAAGCGTGCTTGGGAAGGACTCTACGAGCATGTTACCAGGGCCCAGCCGAAATCTGATCAGACACCAGGCGTGTTGCCAAGGCCAGACCGGAAGCTGATGAAATCACGCGTCAGACATCACGTGCGTTGCCATGCGCCGGGTAGGCGAACGAAGACTGTAGTACCCGAGCAACACGGTGAATCGGACAGATGCAGCGGACAAGTAGGTGTGCAGCGTGGGCTTAGAGCCAAATCCGCCTGGTGATAGTGACATATAAATATGACCGTTCTTTGCCTTAATACAACTCTGGTCTGCTGAGTAGTCTTCTGTCTTCGTTCCGGTCGGGTTTGCCAAGGCGTAAATCAGAGCACGCGTGAAGGCGCAGATTTAGCAACAGGCGTGAATCAACCAGGCGAGAGCGAGCAGGCCGCGCAGCGTTACAACAGTGGCGACGCGAGTACAACCGAACCCAGGCATGGCAATTAGCTTTGAACAATTGCAGATGCTGTTGCAGCAACAACAGGCGCAGTTTGAAGCATCCCAAACCAAACTGATCGAGATGTTAACTCAGAAGATGACAGTGCAGTCAAGCCCAGGGTTAGCGACAAGTGAAGGTGCCCCGTCACCAGAAACCCTGACTCAGCAGATCAGTGAGTTTCATTATGACGCTGATGCTGGCATAACATTTGTTTCGTGGTTCCACAAGTATGAAGATATGTTCCGGGTTGATTTTGCCAACCTTACAGCAGAAAAGAAGATTCGACTAATGCTGCGGAAGCTGGGTGCTGCCGAACACGAGAAGTTCACCAATTTTATCTTACCCAAAAAGAGTACCGATTTGTCCTTCGACGAAGTGGTTGCAGTCCTGTCGCAGATTTTCGGAGAACAGACTTCTTTGTTCAACATCCGGTACAAGTGTCTGACAATAACCAAAAAAGAAGACGAAGACTGGGTCGACTATTCCAGCCGGGTGAATCGAGAGTGCGAACGGTCACAACTACACAAGATGACAAGTGATCAGTTTAAATGCCTCATATACGTCTGTGGCCTACAAGCATCCAAAGACGCCGACATTCGAACACGAATACTGAACAAAATTGAGCAGAATCCGGATGTCACGTTGCAGCAAGTGACCGGTGAGTGCCAACGCATGACGAATCTGAAACACGATACTGCAATGATCCAGCAGTTGTCCAAGCAGAGCGAGCAAGATTTTGTCTGTGCAGTCAGCCGTACTCCCCGAAAAGAAGCTTCCCACGTGAGTTCAACGCATTCTAAACCTCCCACTGCATGCTGGTTTTGTAGAGAGTGGCATTTTGCCCGCGAGTGTCCATTCAAAACTCACACTTGCAACCGTTGCGGCAGAAAAGGGCATAAGGAGTCGTGTTGCCTGGCGACTCGTCCAATTCTGACCAAGAAGATGCGTAACAATGCCAGACCGTTCCGGCGTCCCAATTTGACCAGATCTATCACCGCAACATTCAAGGTTGACGGGGCCAGCAAGCGCAAATACACAATTGTGAAAATCAACGGCTTCCAAGTCAAGTTACAAATTGACACGGCTTCTGATATCACCCTGATATCTCGAGACACTTGGTGCATGCTGGGGCGACCAACACTCATACAAACGGACCACACGGCACGGAATGCTTCAGGAGGTACGTTGAAATTGCTGGGTGAACTGAATTGTCAGGTAAACTTTCGCGATAAACAAATCCAGACGACATGTTTCGTGACAGACCAGCCGGGGTTAGATTTGTTGGGGCTCGACTGGATGGATGAACTGAAACTGCTTGATCAATCAGTGAACAGTATATGTCAGCCACCGCAAGTCAATCTGCTGTCACAACCGTCACCTTCAAGCCCGATGTTTCAAAGTCAGATTGCCGAGATAAAACGACGTCACGATGCATTGTTTCAACCTGGTCTCGGATGCTGCAACATAGCTACTGCCTCATTGAACCTTAAACCAGACGCCAAGCCAGTCTTTAGACCGAAACGCCCGGTGCCCTACGCAACCCAGTCTTTAGTGGAAGCCGAGTTAAATCGACTACAATCTGAAGGGATAATCGAACGAGTTCACTATTCCGAATGGGCAGCACCTATCGTGGTGGTAAAGAAAGGAAACGGTAAAGTCCGTATTTGTGCTGATTTCTCGACAGGTTTGAATTCTGTGTTGGAAGATCATCAGTATCCCCTGCCGGTACCAGAAGACTTGTTCAGCAAACTCAATGGGGGGAAATGTTTCGCAAAACTTGACCTAGCTGATGCGTATTTGCAAATCCCAGTTGCCCATCAGTGCAGAACATTGCTGACAGTAAATACCCACCTCGGACTTTTTCAGTACAACCGGCTGCCGTTTGGAGTGAAAACCGCACCGGCCATTTTTCAACAAATAATGGATACCCTGCTGAGCGATATCCCAAATACAGCAGTATACCTGGACGACGCGCTGATTATGGGCTCAGATCCGCAAGACTTGATACAGACACTGGAGAGAGTGCTTTCGCGTCTTCAGGAAGCTGGATTCCGATTACGGGCTGAAAAATGTGAGTTCCTATTAGAAAGTGTCAAATTTCTTGGGTTCATCATCGACAAACATGGCCGGCGCCCGGATCCCGCCAATATTGAAGCCATCAAAAAGATGAAGCCACCAGAAGACATTGCAGAGCTCCGCTCTTTTCTTGGGCTCGTTAGCCATTACAGTGCTTTCCTACCAAGCCTTCACCAAACCAGAGGACCGCTGAACCAGCTACTGATAAAAGACAAGGATTGGAAATGGACGAAGGAGTGCCAGCAGTCTTTTGATGCAGTCAAAGAAGCTCTCACTTCCGATCTACTCTTGACTCACTTCAATCCGAATTTCAAAATTGTCGTTGCTACGGATGCTTCAAATTATGGTGTCGGTGCAGTTATTTCCCACGTTTTTCCGCATGGAGGAGAGAAGGCTATCGCGCACGCAGCACGGTCACTAACGCCAGCTGAAAAGAACTATAGCCAGATAGAGAAGGAAGCGCTCGCGATTGTTTTCGCAATGAAACGGTTCCATAAGATGCTGTATGGCAGACATTTCACGCTCCTGACTGACCACAAGCCTCTTCTGTCGATATTCGGTTCAAAGAAAGGAATTCCAGTTTTTACGGCAAACCGATTGCAACGATGGGCGACCATACTACTGGCCTACGACTTCAGTATACAGTATAAACCGACGCAACTAATCGGTCAAGCGGATGCCCTGTCTCGTCTCATCAGTTCACACCCAAAGGAGAATGATGATTGTGTGATTGCAGCTATCAGTTTCGAAGCAGAAGTCCAACGAATCCTGGCTGATAATGTGAGAAGACTACCAGTAACAGCCGACACTATTCGTATGGAGACATCACGGGACAGAATCTTGAAGAAAGCGATGCACTGTGTACGAACATGTTGGCCAAATGGAGGCATACCTATGGAGTTGCGGCCGTTTTACCATCGACGTGCATCCCTGTCAGCCGTGGACAATTGTCTGATGTTTGGAGATCGAGTGGTGGTGCCAAGGAAATTGCAGAGGCAAATATTGCAGCAGTTCCACACGGGGCACCCTGGTACCAGCCGCATGAAAGCCTTGGCACGCAGCTTTGTTTACTGGCCAGAAATGGATTCGGAAATTGAAAAATTCTGCCAACAGTGTGAATCTTGTCAACTTGCAGCGAAGGCTCCTCCCAAGTGTCAGTGGCAACCTTGGCCTAAGGCAGAGAAACCGTGGCAACGAATACACGTAGACTATGCAGGACCGATCAATGGCCAATCCTATCTCGTTTTGGTTGACTCATTCACCAAGTGGCCTGATGTGATTCCGGTAAACAATCCGACTGCACAGCACACTATCAACGAGCTGGAGAAGCTGTTCCGATACTTCGGCCTGCCAGAGGTGTTAGTGACAGACAATGGAACACAATTTACCTCGACTTCTTTTCGCGAGTGGTGCAAAGAAAAGGGAATTCATCAGATGTTCTCACCACCATATCATCCTCAATCAAACGGACAGGCGGAAAGGTTTGTGGACACGTTCAAACGTGCACTCTGTAAAGCAGGGCAAAAAAGGGCTTCACAGGATGCAATTCAAGCTTTTCTATGCATGTATCGGAACGCTCCGAATCCAAACTCCCCTGATGGGAAAGCCCCCACAGAAGTACTATTTGGAAGAAAGATCCGGACGTTGTTTGATAATCTTTTACCAAGAAGAATAGAAAAGCACGGCAACAGTCACCAGGAGGAAGATTGCAAGATCAAGCTCCGTAACTTCAATGTTGGTGACATGGTCTACGCCCGGGATTTTCGAAGGCCGAAGGGGTGGTCTAGTGGAACGGTTATCGGAAGGAAAGGCAGAGTTATCTACGAGGTGATGGTTGGACGTGAGAGATGGATTAGGCACATCAATCAGCTGAGACCGAATCATGGCAAAACCCAAGGTCCTCAGGAACCACCAGCTTTACATTGGGACATCCTACTAGACACGTTCGGGTTGGAAGCTGAATGTCAGCAACCAGGTGAGACGAAACAAATGCCGCAGAAATCAGATGCACCATGCAGGCCGGCGCGGAAGCGGAGAAGGCCACAACGGCTGCAAATCAATCCCCGGGCGAAAAGCTACGAACACACTCAGGTTCGAAGGGTGTGCAGGCTGACTCAATTCGGAAGGGGAGGTGACAGTTGGACGAGAAAGCTGAGAGCCGACGCTCGCGCGTTTACCACCAAGCGTGCTTGGGAAGGACTCTACGAGCATGTTACCAGGGCCCAGCCGAAATCTGATCAGACACCAGGCGTGTTGCCAAGGCCAGACCGGAAGCTGATGAAATCACGCGTCAGACATCACGTGCGTTGCCATGCGCCGGGTAGGCGAACGAAGACTGTAGTACCCGAGCAACACGGTGAATCGGACAGATGCAGCGGACAAGTAGGTGTGCAGCGTGGGCTTAGAGCCAAATCCGCCTGGTGATAGTGACATATAAATATGACCGTTCTTTGCCTTAATACAACTCTGGTCTGCTGAGTAGTCTTCTGTCTTCGTTCCGGTCGGGTTTGCCAAGGCGTAAATCAGAGCACGCGTGAAGGCGCAGATTTAGCAACAGGCGTGAATCAACCAGGCGAGAGCGAGCAGGCCGCGCAGCGTTACAACAGGTGGATAGGGTTTAGATGCTACTGCTCAAGACTGCCTGTCTTCCTATTCCCCCTCTTAGGCTTTTGCACTCTTACCGTCCCCTTCCAACTTCACTTATATCCCCCCAGTTTTCAACCTTCCGATTCTTGGCCCTCCCCCAACATGCTTTGCTCACCATTTACCTTCTTATTGCAACCCACATGTGAACGCAGTGTGTCACTCCTCTCCTGTCGACAAGCCCATGTCCAACCAAGCGGTCAATTCCAGTTCATCGGCTTCCATTTGGCATGCCTCAATGTACGCACACTGCTACAAATCGGTCAACAGGCAGCATTTGCCCGAACATTGGAGACCCTCTCGATCGATATCTGCTGCTTATCAGAGACTCGCCTGCAAGACTCGAGCACTGTGCTCACTCTGCGATCTCCTTCAGGTGACGCAAGCAGTATTTTCTCATTGCGCCTATCCAGTGACGATGCAGCTTCGAGCATTGGCCAAGCTGGTGTTGGCATTGCCCTGAGTCCCCGGGCTGAAGCTGCTCTGGTTGATTGGATTCCAATAAGTAGCCGGATGTGTGCGGTCCGATTGGATGGCTCGTTTAAAGCCTCGAAGTCGCGCGGGACTAACACGTGTCTATTCATCATCGCTGCCTATGCGCCCACAAACTGTAGCGATGATTCGGTAAAGAACGACTTCTACCGCCAACTGACCCAGCTCCTTCGCCACAAAAGAAGCACGGACACTGTTGTGCTGGCGGGGATATGAACGCACAAGTTGGAAAGGTGTCCACTGATGAAATGCATCTGGGCGGTCAACACGGTGTAGGCTCCCGTAATGATAATGGTGAGCGGTTACTTCATTTGTGTGAAGATGCTCACTTATTTCTTGCGAGCACTAATTTTCGACACAGCACTCGCCGGAAGGTGACTTGGCGCCCACGAGCCTCGAACCAGCCTTGGACGCAGATCGATCACATTGCCATCAGCTACCGCTGGAGAGGCTGCATGCAGAATTGTCGCTCGCTTTGGAGCACATGTGTGGACACCGATCATGCACTTGTATGTGCTGACATGCGGATGCGTTTTGGCGGACGCCCACGAAGACGATGTGAGCGCATTGACACCAGCCAACTGACAAAGCCAGCTGTTCTGAATGCGTATCGAAGTACGCTGACATGGGAGCTGAGTAATCGCTCACTGGAGACAATTGATGGTCACTGGTCACATGTTCGCCAGACCTTAGTAGCAGCGGGCAAATCCTCATGTGGCATGTCTAATAGGCAACATAGACACTGGGTCTCTTCTCTGTCCCGGCTGGAAGTGAACATAACGAAACTCGTAAACAGCTCCGGGCAAAACTCCGTGCTAGCCTGAAGAGACACCGCGAATCTCGGTGGTCTCATCGTGCGTCAGAGATGGAAGTGGCCGCTGCCCTTGGCAACCATCGTAAGTTATTCCGTCTGATAGGGGAAACGGGCAGCAGGAGAAATGGTGTTAGTGAAACAATTTGTGATGAGAGTGGACAGCCTATCCACAATTTGTCAAAACGTTTGGAGCGTTGGGCTGAGCATTTTGAAAAGCAATTTAATCAGCTAGAATTGTTCGATTCGCCGGTCACTGATCGCCCTGCTCCGTGGGCTGTCCCTTTGGATCCACCCTATCGCTCAGAAGTGGAACGTGTGATCTGACTGTGTAAGTTGAACAAAGCCGCGGGACTGGATGATCTTCTTCCATCTCTCTTCAAATTCGGAAGCTCTGCTCTTGTTGATGCTTCACATGAATTACTAGTGAAACTGTGGGAGCAGGAGATTGTCCCAACCGACTGGAGCCGCTCCGTTATTGTTCCCATCTTCAAAGGCGGCTCGCGCTCGGAATGGGGCAACCGTAGAGGAATCAGTCTGATTTCCATCGCCTCCAAATTACTAGCCTACATAATTCTTCACAGACTGACTGGCGCTCGCGAAAGCCAGATTCGTGAGGAGCAAGCCAGGTTTCGTCGGGGTCGTGGCTGCATCGACCACATCTTCACCTTGCATCAGTTGTTGGAGTAACGTCACACATATTGGCGGCCCACCGTAGTCGTGTTCCTCGACATCAAATGTGTCTTCGATTCGGTTGATCGATGTGCCCTTTGGAATTGTTTACTCAGGAAATGTGTGCCCGAGAAATATGTAAATATTGTCCATGCATTATATTTGCGTAGCACAGGCAGAGTGAGGGCTTACGGCAACCTGTCGCCACCCTTCAATATCTCCAGCGGCGTGAGACAAGGATGCCCGCTGTCACCTTTCCTCTTCAACTTCGCTTTTGACGAAGCCATGGAGTTTGCATTTACAGAACATGACTTGGAAGGTAAGGAGCTACTCCCAGGAGAACGACTTCTTGACTTGGAGTATGCAGACGACATTGCCCTCATCTGTGACAGCCCTCAGACGTGCCAAGCCGCGCTGGACAGATTAGCACTGGCTGTCAGCCGCTTCGGGCCTTGCTTTGCACCATTGAAGTGCAAAGCGTTCCTCCAAGATTGGCAGGGATCGCCTCCTGTGCTGACCCTTGGTGGGAATCAGCTAGAAGTCGTTCAGAAATTCAATTACCTTGGAAGTTGCATCAGCCCCCTTGGAATCGAAGACGAGATCACGAACCGCATAGTGAAAACTCGAAGTGCTTTTTCTAACCTTCGCCACCTATGGCGGCGGCGCGACATTACTCTCGCCCTGAAGGGTAGAGTGTACAATGCAGCCGTACCTTCGACCTTACTGTACGGTTGCGAAAGCTGGGTCCTAAGATCGGCGGAATTGAAGAGGCTAGTTACGTTCGACCATCGTTGCATTCGCAATTTGGCTCACATCTGGTGGGAACACAGCGTGAGTAACGAGCGTGTTCGACGTCTTGTTTACGGCCCAGGAAAAGGGAATGAACGGCTCAGCACCGTTATTTCCCCCACCAAAATCCGATAGCTCGGCCACGTGTTGCGCATGCCAGCCCACCGACTCCCGCGACGAGCGTTGTATGCTCACCTGGGATGTGGGGGAAGAAGAGGAGAGGTGGCCAAGCGATGACTTGGTCCAGGGGAATGAAGTCCCTCATTTTGCAGCCGGCCTCGGTTGGAGCGTCACTGCTCCATGGTTGGGGTCCAAAAGACGGTGAACACGTTTAGCTGGATATACTTGCTGACATGGCAAAGAGCCGACCTCAGTGGCGTTCCTGCTGTGAGTTTCTTTGTCCCTCCCCATCCCTTTTAGCCTCCACCTCCATCTACCATCTCCTTTCGTAGCGTAAAACATAATAAATATTTTTTTTCTAGTAGCTGGCTGGTAGCTTACCGGAACGATGCCCATCCGTTTCTGGTAGCTCAGCTGGCATGCAACTGTTGTATTTATTTTTTCTTTTATGTATTTTATGTATGTATATATTTCCTTTATATATTGCGGTACAACAGCGGAGGTATTTCACCACCTCTAGCTGACATGTATAATGATGATGATGATGGTGCTCCCTTAGACGAGTTATATTTATTCGTATATCTTTTATTTTGGTAGAATTTGGTTGTACCGACTAATCGCAGTGCATACATTTTCCCTCGGTTAGTTTGGACTACCTCAGTATTCAAAACATACTAGAAAGTTTCACCTATTTTTCAGCATCTCGTTTGTCCCTTTTTGAACACCGATGTCTATCTGTCTTTCTTTTCCTACCACTGGGGCGTGAGGTTGGCATAAATATGTCTACTTTCAACTTTTCATCGTATTTGTCATTTTATCTCATTTTGTTTCTAATGCGAGTGAAAGTAACATTCGTGATCTTAATACTGGGAAAACGGCTACAACCACCCAAGTGTCCGCATCAAAAGTGCATCTAATTTTGGTCAATGGATGAAAAACCTTTATTCCTAATCAATATACCGAAGCGTTTGATTAATTAGCTCATTTGAAAGCGAAGTAAAGTTCTTTATAACGGATTGCTTTCCATCGATGCAACGTCGGCCAATATTATGGCATTAGCAAAACTCTTCGTTAGTTACTGATCAGATAATCTAAAAGCAACACATTTGGTCGATGAACTACTTGCCACTATTGCCAAAAAGGCCAGTGCGCGCGTACATTGTGCCTTTAAAATGATCATCTTCAACGCTCTGGACCGTATGGCTCTCGACAGAGTGAAGAGCGTACTAGTATATTTGTGCAAGATGCCATTGGACAGTTGTGTCAGTAAACGCCTGAGAAAAACGGCATCAGGAAGAACTGCGCCCCTTTATCCTTGCATTTACTGGTTGGGAATAAGTCAAAACGCTAGTACATAACAGATTTGACCTATGACCTAAAGCGAACCTTGGCCAGAGCCTAGTTAAACCCGATGAGATCAATCTACATAGAGCCATCTCATCATTAAGTGCGGCTAACGCGGAGCAACATAGTTGCTCTGTGTCACAGAGTGCACTTCTGACTAGCTTGATCATAACCCCACACGCTGTATTAGACTCATTCCCTATGCAGTTAATCCCAGTTACAAGAAAACAAACAGTTTCATAGCGGACGAAAACCGAGGCTGAGGTCGGCACCAAAAGCTACCTGCCACTGCTTAGTAATATTGCCATTAATGCAACCATAAATTTTATAAGAACAAGGATAATGGGCTTGAGATCAATTACGCCCCGCCTCACGCTGCTGGCTCTTATGATATTTAAGTACCAAATTCTTCTCCATCGGCGTGCTAGCCACAGGTAAAGAAATTATTTAAAAGACACAAGACATCTTTGGCCACTCGTGTTCAAAATTAAACTCGGTTCCACCATGACGAACATCAATTCTTTTCTCCACTACGAAGCTTCGAGTTCAGCAACCAATCCTTGATACCAGAACATAGTAATGGGAAACAAAATCATGATGTAAAGC